ACTGCACAACATCTCACTCATCCATTACGTATTGATCTAGTTGGTTCCCCACAACATCAGCTTCACTAGTCGTGGCCAGGTGGGATCTGTACGACAATGCGATTCGATCAGAGGATGCGATGCTCGATGACATAGAAGCTCCATCACTATTCACTACTCTTAAAAGCGTGTGCAAGTCCATAACTGAGATAGACGTCAACGGCAATCCTCCAGGATGCAATGAACTCTTCCTACCCTTCAATGGTGCTAAGATTATTCACAACATACTTCAGCAAGGCCTGCCTGATCATCATCATCCTGTCCAGAAAAGGCCACCACCACCTCACCATCGTCGATCAGCAGGGGAGTGGGAGGTCATCCTCACTAGGCTCTTGTCGAGTATTATCAACGATGCTCTGAATAAGGTTTCGGGGAGGAGGATGAAGGACAGGAAGCCCTACATAAGGGTAAGTGTAAGCATGGTTATTCCGCTGAACCTTCCGACAGGTATTCGGATCAGCTCTTAGTGGATTCTCATTGTCCAGTGAGGAAAGCGATGTGGACGCGGTCGTACTCCTAGAAGGGGAAGAAAAGTTCTCAGAAGGAATCCTCGAGGAAGGATCGTAAGCGGCGCCCTTGTTACTATTAATGATCGATTTATCAATAGCAGATCGTCCCCTTGGTATGGACTCTCGAGAGCTTTCGTAAGAAGTCTTGGTAGAATTTTACCCTCACAAACAAGTATATATTCGAGACAAACGTCCTGTATTTATAGTATCAAGGTGGGTACTTGGGTAGTACGACGATGATGATTGGACAGCAGTTATGTTATTGCAGTTGATGGAATCGATACCCGAAGCTAGAGTACCCATAGTAAAGCTGAAATTAATGATCTCTAATAATTCCATGGAGGAAAAGGTGGAGGTCGACTTATCCTTTATGAACCCACTTGGTGTGAAGAACTCGGAATTACTACGAGAATACGGCAAGTAGCGCCGATCCTTCGTAACAGCTCGTCTCGGTGGTCTCATTTATTTCAAGGTTACATCCATGCGTCATTCCAGTGGTGTGCGCAGTGAAGGCTTGGGCGAAACAGAAGGGTCTAGTCTCAGCCAAGGAGAACAACTTCCAACGACTCACCTCATATGCTTGGACGATGATGGTCATCTTTTACCTTCAAGTTCGAGTCGGCCTTCTCCCCAGCCTCCAGCGTCCATCGTTTGCCACTTACGATCC